CATCACTAAGTCTCTGGAGTAACTTGGGACGCTGCTCCCTCCTTTTTTATCTGCTGGCAGGGTGACTATAATTTACAACCAGCCTCGAGTGGCGCCAGAAGCTTTTAAACGGTTCGCACAGCACCTGGATCACATTTGAATCACACAGGAATACACAGCGTGTTCCTATGTGATTTATGGTGTGAACTAGCCCTAAGGCTCGGTTCACACTATGCGGGCTGATTGTGGGTGCGGGAATCACATCTGTTCCCACACCCGCAACCACATTGCGCTTCCCTTCTATTATTCTGAATGGCGAGCCATGCATCTCAGCCTGCAGCGCAATTGGGGGTGTGGGAAACGGCAGGGAAACCACAGTTAAAAAAAAAAAAGACCATGCCACTTCCCTGCGGCTGCGATATTAAAAAGGTGCATGCATGTGGAAACACGGGCACAGCAGCCTATTCAAATGAATGGGCTACTGCGCCCGAGTAAACTTGGGCCGCATGGCCTGCAAAAGTGTGAACTGAGGGTTAGGCTGCAAAATCTTGCTCACCAGTGACAGGGCACCAAAGTACCTGCCCTGCTGCTGCTTACTGAACACAGGAGGTCTCTAGCTTGGCAAGGGCGCGATTCAAAGCACACTTAACATTTTCTCAATGAATGCAAAGTGTTCTCTGATTGGACAGGTCGGAGATTGTGAGCAACAGGATCACTAGAGGTTGGTCACATGCCCCTATAGCACTGCTCCCTAGATAGCCAAAAAGCTGCAAATTCTCACTCACCAGTGAGAGGACAGCAAAGAAGTGACACCTCAAAGGAGTGATATTGTAGGAGTAAGTGAAGCAAAGACCATAAACTAGGGGTCAGAGCAGACTTGGCGCATTGATCAGCCATGATTAAAAGGTGCCCCCCACTGAAGTCCCATCAAAATTGGGGGGGACATACAGGAGCAGTGAAGTTCCTTTTCAAACTTACTATCATTCAGAGACCGCACACAACGTCTTGAACGCTTCCCTACAAAGCAAGTGTCCTGTTTGCCATTGTCTTCTTCTCCTGAAAAAGATACGGTGGGATCTTAGTTATTTAATTTAAGGAAAAACCCTCCACTTACACAGTCCCAGCTATGCTGAACCCAAACCAAAATGCAGATATGGGATCCCAAAAGGAAAAGCAGTTATGCAGTAAGGTAGGAACAATGATCAGAGATAAATAACTAGGGAGCTTGAAATTTTAGAATCACTAATCCTGGAACAAGTATGCAGCCAGTGAAGGCAGAACTCCTAATCTGCTTACTTGTAACAGGGCACTCATTCAGAATGCACTGAAAGGTGCGTATCAGTGTGCCTGCCAGATATACTTTCACTACTAAAAATACTAGTTAAAAGTTCACCTTTTCAGAAAAAAAAAATTAAAAAGGTGCACCAACACTATACAGTCTCCCCACCCCCTGCTCCCCGCTGTGATTTACATCCATGGGTGACGAGTAGTGCCCACACAGCCGGTGCAGCAGCCTGGGGATTTGAAATCCCTGCTCTTCTCTGTGCAGCTCTTATGGGATGGATCAGAGCAATTCAGATTGGTCAGCGCCAGCACGGAGCGTTCCTCTGATCCGTTCCAGAAGTTCTGCAGAAAGAAGAGGGAGGAGAGCTGCAGCTCATCATCTACAGTGATAAGTACAGTGGGGAACGGGGGGAGGGCTGGCATTCTTGGCTTGATGCTTTCTGAACACGGGAGGTCGGCTGTTGGGCACTGGTGCAATTTAGAGAATGCTTTGCAGTTCCTGGATGTATGCAAAGAATTCTCTGACTGGAGAGGTGGGGCAGTGACATCAAACTCTCTACCTTGTTCATTCAGAATATACAAAGTATCCTCTGAATGGCATGCATGCTGAGCAGTCAACCTTCCGTGTTCACAATGCGTCAGGGCAGCCGCTTAGCGTGGGACCTGGAAAGAAGGGGAGATCACTGGAGTAGCGGTGTCTGCTTCAGTATCCAACGGCACTGCCTGCATGGGGTTTGCATGTTCTCCCTGTGCCCGCATGGGTTTCCTCCGGGTACTCTGGCTTCCTCCCACACTCCACATATATCCTGGTGGGTTCGTTGGATCCTGTCTAAATTGGCCCTAGTATGTGTATGTATGTGTGAGTTAGGGACCTTAGATTGTACACCCCTTGAGGGTTAGGGGCTGATGTGAATGTACAATATATATGTAAAGTGCTGCGTAAATTGACAGCGCTATATACATACCTGTAATAAATAAAATATTAAATATATACAGTGCGGTGAAAAAGTATTTGCCCCCTTCCTGAATTTTTTTTTTTTTTTTTGCATATTTCTCACACAAATGATTCAGATCAAACAAATTTTAATATTACATAAAATATAACCCAAGTAAATACTAAGGGAAAAAATCTGTCCAAACCTGCCTGGCCCTATGTAAATAAGTAACTGCCCCCTAAACAGAATAAGTGGTTGTGCCACCCTTGGCAGCAACAACTGCAATCAAACGTTTGCGATAACTGGCAATGAATCTTTCACATCGCTGTGAAGGAATTTTGGCCCCTTCTTTACAGAATTGTTTTAATTCAGCCACATTGGAGGGTTTTCCAGCATGAATGGGTTGTTTAAAGTCATCCCACAGCATCTTAATCAGATTTAAGTCTGGACTTTGATTAGGCCACTCCAAAACCTTCATTTTGTTTTTTTTTTTTTTTCTTTTGAGCCATTCAGAGGTGGACTTGCTGGTGTGTTTTGGACCACTGTCCTGCTGCATAACCCAAGTGCTTTTGATTTTGATCTTGAGGTAACAAACTGATGGCCGAATATTCTCCTTCAGGATTTTCTGGTAGAACGCAGAATTCATGGTTCCATCAATTATGGCAAGTCATCCAGGTCCTGAAGCTGCAAAGCAGCCTCAGACCAACAACATACTACCAGAACCATGTTTGATTTTTGGGATGATGTTCTTTTTATGAAATGCTGTGTTAGTTTATGGTAGATGTAACGGGGGACACACTTTCAAAAAGTTCAACTTTTGTCTCATCAGTCCACAGAATATTTGCCCCAAAGTCTTGGGGACAATAAAGATGTTTTTTGGCAAATGCGAGATGAGCCTTTGTGTTCTTTTTGGTGACCAGTGGCTTTCACCTTGGAACTCTCCCATGGATGCCATCTTTGCCCAGTCTCTTTCTTATAGTTGAATCATGAACACTGACCTTTACTGAGACAAGTGAGGCCTGCAGTTCTTTAGATGCTGTTCTTGGTTCCTGTATAATTTCCTGGATGGGTCATTGTTCTACTCTTGGAGTAATTTTGCTAGGTTGGACACTCCTGGAAATGTCCACAATGTTCCAAGTTTTCTCCATTTGTGGATAATGGCTCTCCGCATGGTTTTCTGGAGTCCCGTAGCCTAAGAAATGGCTTTGTAACCCTTTCCAGACTGATGCATGTAAATTATTTTGTTTATCAACTGTTCTTAAATTTCTTTAGATTGCACTATTATGTGTTGCTTTTTGAGATCTTTTAAAGTGCTTCACTTTGTCAGGCAGCTTCTGTTTAAGTGACTTCTTGAATCAACAGGTCTGGTAGTAATCAGGCCTGGGTGAGGCAAGTGAAATTTAACTCAGCTTCCCAAAAATTTGGTTGATAACAGTTCATTCAAAATCAGGAAGAGGGCAAATACTTTCTCAAAGCACTGTGTGTATATATATACACACACACACACACACACATACATATATATACACACACACACACACACACACATACATACACACACACACACATACACATATATATACATATACACACACATACAGTACATATATATATATATATACACACACATACATATATATATACACACACATATATATACACACACACACACACACACACACACACACTGTATATATATTGTACACACATATATTATACATACACATATATATTAGTGTGTTTGTTATATTACATTGGGCCACAAACCAAAAAATAAAATAAATATAAATTATCCATGTCTGGAATTCATCTTTAACATGCGAATAATTAATATTCTTATAAAAGAAGTTAAAAAATGTGGATGTGTGGTTTGGTATTATTTCAAAAAGAACTGTGCTTTAGCGAAATCATGCTATTGCATTAGAAATATGCTCCTGCTGACCAAAATTCAATAGCAGAGAACAAGCTTGTTGCACCTTGTTGTCGGATATTTCTCTAGACATGAATTTGTGAGGTGTACTGATGAACTGCAGGACGTGGCTATAAAACGCAGAGCTGATCTCAGCTGGAAAGGGGTTTGGATATAGGCACACTATTATTTTTGGAAAATGGTCATTAATGGCAGCCTTCATAGCTATCTCAGGCCAGGGTTCCTTTAATCTCACTTTTAGTCTTTATATATGCGAGATTAGAAGATGGGCGTACATTACATAATGGTTATCAAAAGCTCTAGAGTTCTCTGGGACTTAGTATTGTATAGGGACCAAACCTGTGTGATTCAGGACTCCTTCTCGGTCCAGAGGAGTAATAGGAGGACAATTCTGTATGCCAGATTTATACCAGAAGAGAAGCACTAAACGTAGACAGGCCCTGATGGAAGAGAAAGAGAAGTCAGAGTGACAAAATGAGTCAAAAGAAGACCATTCTAACCATAAATCTAATGAACACAACTCACATGCATCAAACCATAAAGTCGACATAAACCCTAATTGAATGACATTTAGTTTGCTAAATACATGATTAGCATGGTTATTAAAATACAATTGTGCTTTTCCCTTTTTACATCTCATTTATGCCAATCTCTCGCAGGCCCTTTGCAGCCTCTTCCTGTCTACATGCAATCCAATGATGGCTGTATGTCTTGAACAAGCGCAATCAATCAATTTCCCTGTCTACACTATACAGCATGGATGGAGGAATCTCCCGTTAGATATTGTAGATTGAGGGTTAAAGCCAGAAGAAGCTGCCTATGGTCTCTGCTTTTGATGTACAGGGGGACTCTGATATGAACCCTAAAAGTGAGAGTTTGGGGGGGGGGTGTTCTGATGTAAGGGTGGACTGGACTCTGATGTAGGGGTGGACTGTGATAGGGACCCAATGTGGGAGGGGCCTCTGATGTAAAGGTGGATTGATGGAGACCCAGATGTAAGAGGAGACTAATGGGGACCCTGATGTAAAGGAGGACTCTGATCAGGACCTGAATGGGGATTCTGATGTCGGGAGGGCTCTGATTGGAATTTTTTCACTCTGCAAAAATGGAGACCCCTGAACTAGAGAAACAACATGAGTTGGAGGCAGCTTGTGGGCGGGTGCAGCGTGGTGCGGTGGCAGTGATTCTACAGATTGGATGTTATATCGATTGTTATAAACAGAACTTGCACTGAATGAAAGGCTCAACTGTAAAAACAGCCCAGTGGGAAGACGCCTGGCTGGGGACACTCACAGTTCTTAACATAAAGGTGGAATGGAGTAGGTCTCAGATGTTCCGATAGAGTCTGTCTCTGAGGGTGGAATGCGGCGTGGCTGGTCTGTGCCCAAACGGGAGGATTCCTGGAAGATGAGCGAGTCCCTATCCTGTCCCTACTAGTCTGGAACCTTTCCCTACCACTGTTCACTTGCCCAGACAGACAGGTGACCTGTTGCTTCATTATCCCCTTGCAAAATGCACGCCAAGCCAGGGAGTCAGAGTCATAAAAAGACACTGCCTGACCCAAGATGGCAGCCAGAGTCACATGGGGCAGCAACATCCAATGGATAGCTTCCCCAGTGAACCAAGAAACCATAGAGGAGTATGTTCCTCCTGACTTCCTCATCCTTTGCAATGCCGCTGTGAATGTGCGCCACCTACAGTGGAGAAAATAGACTGCACCTGCCTACAAGCACACCATCCTTACTTGAGCAGCTGTATAAGTAAAATGGCAACCCATCTCGTCCGATCGCCCCACACTCTTGCTGATCCAATTTCAAGGAAGACCTCTAGACTTTCCAAGATGCCGAGCCAGTTGAGAAGACGCTGCCGGGGCTCATCCTGTAAATGAGGGCAGAACAGGGAGAAAAATTAGTCACACCCACTTAATAGCATACATAGAAGAACAATTGGAGCTTACAATCTAATACGCGGGTGTCAAACTGGTGGCCCTCCAGCTGTTGCCAAACTACAAGTCCCATGAGGCATTGCAAGATTAGCAGTTACAAGCAAAGGCAGAGGCATGATGGGACTTGCAGTTTCGCAACAGCTGGAGGGCCACCAGTTTGACACCCCTGATCTAATATCTCTGCCATGGTTACACACACACGCACGCACACGCACGCACGCACACACACAGTGAATATTAGTGATCAATCATCATTCCTGTACTGCATTTCATTTTTTTTATCATTCCCAACAATGAATATGCTATTCTTATTTTGAAAAAAAAGCTTTATAAAAATGTACTCTTGGAGTATGAGCTTTTTTGATATTTATATATGTGCCGATTCTTCTTAATGTGAACTGATCCAATATAGAATTGCACAATCTGTCCTTTTTACTCATGTAGCTGTTCTCTGTGGCCGTTTTTAGAGCCATGAAGCAGCAGGGGTTTGCCACCTGAAATGAGTTGTGAACTACATTTGTCATTCACACTTGGTTCACACTGATGCGGTGCGGAATTCGCCGCATTCTCAGTAGCAAATTCCACACTGCATCACAATTGTACCCCGTTCATACGAACCGCTGCGAGGGTGTATGTTAACACCACCCGGACATCGGACCGCAAAACGCGGTGCGATGTGCAGAATTGGATTGTATTGGTGTGAATATCTATGCGATCCGATTCTAGTGTGGACCAAAAAAAAGGGTCCTGCATCTTTTTGGTGTGGGTACAGTGCGAATAGAGCCATACAAAATCTAAGGCTCTAATCGCACCGCATACAAAGCGCATATGATTTGTACAGGAATGCGGTGCGGTTCCTGTGCGAATCACATGGGATTTACAGCACCGCTGTAGTGTGAACCCAGGCTAAGAGATTTTTAGACTTTGGATGTTTGTTTGGCACTGTAATCAGACTGTATATACTCCTGAGATCCAGGCAGATCTGTCATACTGCACGGCTAAGCAAGCGTCAGCACTGTTTGCAGATTCAGCTGTACGGATTCCTGTGTCGTCTGTCCATTTATAGCATGAATCAGTGTCATCACCTCTATGCAGAAAAGTGGTGACCCAAGAAGCTGTAAATCTAAGCCAGGAAATATGTAGATGAAATTTCCAGGGTCATGTCCTGTGGCAAAAAGGTGAAGCACAGAAACGGCCAAACAGAATTAGAACTTTTTGACAGATAGAATGCTTCACATAAACTGATAAGCAATAACAATGTGACCACCCACAATAACATTGTGACCACCCACAATAACATTGTGACCACCCACAATAACATTGTGACCACCCACAATAACAATATGACCACCCACAATAACATTGTGACCACCCACAATAACATAGGACCACCCACAATAACATTGTGACCACCCACAATAACAATAGGACCACCCACAATAACAATAGTGACCACCCACAATAACATTGTGACCACCCACAATAACATTGTGACCACCCACAATAACATTGTGACCACCCACAATAACAATATGTGACCACCCACAATAACATTGTGACCACCCACAATAACATTGTGACCACCCACAATAACATTGTGACCACCCACAATAACATTGTGACCACCCACAATAACATTGTGACCACCCACAATCAGTGTACATACATTTCAAATGAGTGATTAGCTACTTGTCCAGAGTTCCATGTAACATACAAGTATGCTATTGGATTGGAACCTGAGCAGTGGGGAAATCCTGAACATGCAAATTCCATACAGATGGTAACCCTGGTGGAATGTGACCCAGGAACTCAGCACTGACTCCAAGCCCACGACACATGCAGCACTCCAGTGATGGTGGCTCTACTCTAACACACAGATTTATTTATTTATTTCAGGTACTTATATAGCGCCATCACTTTAAGCAGCACTTTACATATATATTGTACATTCACATCAGTCCCTAACCCTCAAGGGGCGTACAATCTAAGGTCCCTAACTCACATTCACACATACTAGTGCCAGTCTATAAAGAAGCCAATTAATCAACCAGCATGTCTTTGGAGTGTGGGGGGGAAACCAGAGTACCCGGAGGAAACCCACGCAGGCACAGGGAGAACATGTAAACTCCAGGCAGGTGGTGCCGTGGTTGGGATTTGAACCGACGACCTTAGTACTGCCAGTCGGAAGTGCTAACCAATTACCCACTGTGCTGCCTGCATCTACTCTAAGGCTAGGTTCAAACCTATGCAGGTAGTGTTTAAGGCGTTTCTGCAGTGAGTTTTGCGTTTTTGCACTTGCAGGTTTTAGTTTTTTTCATTAAAAAGTTTTTTGTTGCTAGGCAGATTTTAAATGCAAAACGCATCAAAAACGCAATACATGCTTTTCTGCAGCATTCCCATTAAAGTCTATAGAACCAAAAACGCAATGTTTTGCGTTCACAAAAGGTCCCTGGCCCTTTCCAAAAAAAACACACGCGGAGATGTGAACCTGGCCTATAGGAAATCATATTAAATGGACTGTACTGTGTTTCTGCAAAACACGGCAGAAAACGCTTAGGTGTGAACCTGGGGTAAACCACCCCCTCCAGCCACCCAAGACTTAATATTTGAGTACTAACATGTGGGGTGTTGTGAGCTACTATGGTGTATACACAGTGTGAAACAAATATTTAAATACTGTGGGGAGGGGCTCTGACATCACCACGCTTAAAGGCAACACACAGCAAGTATACTGAAGTTTGGAAAACATATTGAGGATCCTATTTTTTATATGCTGAAGCGATGTTAACCTGTTATTTATGAGAGTGCACTACTTTGTTTAATACATCTTTTAAAAAAGAAGATAAGGCACTCTATATATTTTTACATTACATGGCACTTGTATCTATGGAGAAAAAATCCTAAGGAAGCGAGGAGACCCCCTAGTGGGAAAAGGGATAACTCCAGCCATCCATCCATTCACCTCCAGGAAAAGTTCCATTGGAAGCGAGGAGACCCCCCCTATTGGGAAAAAGGGATAACGCCGTCCATCCATCCCCAGGGAATAGGGATAATCTCATCCATTCACCTCCAGGAAAAGTTCCATTGGAAGCGAGGAGACCCCCTACTGGGAAAAAGGGATAACTCCGTCCATCCATCCATCCCCAGGGAATAGGGATAATCTCATCCATTTACCCCCAAGTCCAATTAAAGGGACACAAGCCTTTTATGACCTCACTTAACGGTTTGGTCATATATGCCAGGTGAGAGCACAGCCGGTGAAGGTGTGCACATTTTGTATGATTGGTGGACTGCACGATATATACTTCATATCACACCATTAGAAGAAATATCCAAATCACGGATTAATTAAGGACATGTATGCAGCAGCATTATTATTATTATTATACAGGATTTATATAGCGCCAACAGTTTGCTCAGCGCTTTACAATATAACGGGAGACAATACAGCAACAATACAGTTCAATACAAGAGGGTCAGGAGGGCCCTGATCCTGGGAGCTTACAATCTAGGTGGGAGGGGCTAGTGGTACAAAAAGGTAGTAACTGTGGGGGATGGACTGGTTGGAAGAGTAGAAGATTCCATTATTAGTTGAGGGCAGGATAGGCTTCCCTAAAGAGATAGGTTTTCAGAGATCGCCTAAAACTGAGCAGAGTAGGCGATAGTCTGATAAATTGGGGTAGAGAGTTCCAGTGGATGGGGGAAGCTCTGGAGAAGTCCTGGAGATGAGCATGGGAGGAGGAGACAAGGGAGCTAGAGAGCAGGAGGTCTTGCGAGGAGCGGAGAGTACGGTTTGGGTGATATTTAGAGACAAGATCGGTGATGTAATTTGGGGCAGAGTTATAAATGGCTTTATACGTTCGCATGATTGTATTGTCACTTTAATTTGATGTTGGACTATTATTTATTTTATTCACATATTTGATACTTTATATTCCAATTGTTAGTGGAGTGGGACACTATTTTCTTTGATCACATTCATATTTGGGACTTTCTGCCTTGTGGTGCCAGTAGACATTACAATCACCTCCCAATCTGGTTGGATGAATATGCTGCACAAGGGGAAGTTTGCTTTTTTTCTCTAGATAAATGATTGGCTCTCATTGACAGAGATTCGCCAACATCCTAGAAATCCTTTGCCGGACATAATAAGCACTTATGAAACTCGAAAGCTTCCATTACTGCTACCACAGCAAAGTATTGCTCCTATGCGTCATACCGACTGCTATTATTGGTAGAAGTATCCTGGCAACAAGCAACAGTGAGCTATTTATGTCATCCAGCAAATGCTGCAATGGTGCTAAAATACAAAATGTTGAATTTCTCTTAGCCTGGGTTCACATGGATGCAGTCTGGAATTCGCAGCATTTTCTGTGTAAATTCCGCACCGCATCAGAATTGCACCCCATTCATGCGAACCGCTGCAGGTGTGTATGTTATGTTAACAATACCCTGGAATCGGTCCACAAAACGCGATGCGATGTGCAGATTCGGATCGTATAGGTGTGAATACCCATGCGATCCGTTTCTAGTGCGGACCCAAAAAAAGGGTACTGCACCTTTTTAATGTGGATGTGGTGAGTTTTGAGCCATACAAAATGTATTCCTCAAATCGCACCGCACACAATTCGCACAGGAATGCAGTGAGGTTCCTGTGCGAATCATCACATGCAATATACCGCACCGCATGAGTGTGAACCAAGCCAGAATGTGAGATTTCCTTTATTCCTCTACAGCCAGAGTGCTAAAAGCACCACTAAGAGTTACAGGGAGTGTAAAACGGATCTCTTCCGGAGGAGGGGCTTTCTCAGCTAACCCACACCCCCTTGTCTGAATGCCTGAGTTAAGGGCAGATGGATTCCAGGAAGTAAATGCTACATGACTCATCTGCCCTTATTCAAGATGGTGACGGCCAAAACTGCTAGAGAAGTGCTTGTCAACATGCTTTCTCAACAAAATAAAGCATGGAGACATGGATAGGTGGGAAAGTTTGCTTTGAATACTAAATATGAATTAAATAGCAATAAGAAAAATTAATAATAGCGCCTATGGTCAAAATTGTATAACTTACTAATAGTGTACCAGCTGCAAAAAAAACCACCATATATAAAGTGTACCAATTAATAAATAATTTGCGCTAGTAAATATATATAAATATATGTAAGAAATCATCAAATCATAAGTCCAGAAAAATATATATATACCAATACCACAGAAAAATATAAAAAACTTTAGGTGCAAAAAAACTTTTGTGCAAAAGGAGTGTCTCAATATAAAAAAAGTGTCTCAATATAAAAAAATTTCACCAAAAAACCTTGATAATATAATGGCAGATCATCCATAAAAATATCTTCAGAAACGGAAGCTCTCCAACACACCGATCCTCATCGATCGAAATAACAGGACGAAAAACTTTGTAGTTAATCGAAAATCCACTTCTCCAATAGAAAAAGGACCACCTTCAAACGTATCCATGGGGGGAAATGCCAAGCACTCGAGAGAAACAGAAAGACTTCATGGTGCAATATTATAAAAACCAATTCCTTTATTAGATACTCATTGCACTTACTCAAGAGGTGTCCCAGCCGACACCAGCATCAACAGCATCAACAGCAATCGCATAAACGAGCCTGACTACTCAGCACATGTGCAATAGCTGGCAGCCAAAAACGTAATGACATCACATCAATCCGCGGAGCTTGATTGATGTGATGTCATTACGTTTTTGACTGCCAGCTATTGCACATGTGCTGAGTAGTCAGGCTCGTTTATGCGATTGCTGTTGATGCTGTTGATGCTGGTGTCGGCTGGGACACCTCTTGAGTAAGTGCAATGAGTATCTAATAAAGGAATTGGTTTTTTATAATATTGCACCATGAAGTCTTTCTGTTTCTCTCGAGTGCTTGGCATTTCCCCCCATGGATACGTTTGAAGGTGGTCCTTTTTCTATTGGAGAAGTGGATTTTCGATTAACTACAAAGTTTTTCGTCCTGTTATTTCGATCGATGAGGATCGGTGTGTTGGAGAGCTTCCGTTTCTGAAGATATTTTTATGGATGATCTGCCATTATATTATCAAGGTTTTTTGGTGAAATTTTTTTATATTGAGACACTTTTTTTATATTGAGACACTCCATGAATTAAATAGCGTTTTCAGTTTGTGGTGCCCATATACAGAGTTGTTCCACTTTAAACTATTAGTGCAACAGAAATAAAAAGGCAGCACGGTGGCTAAATGGTTGGCACTTCCACCTGGCAGTACTAGGATCGCTGGTTCGAATCCCAACCCCGACATCACCTGCCTGGAGTTTGCATGTTCTCCCTGTGCCTGCGTGGGTTTCCTCCGGGTACTCCAGTTTCCTCCCACACTCCAAAGACATGCTGGTAGGTTAATTGGCTCCTGTCTAAATTGTCCCTAGTATGTGTATGTATGAATGTGAGTTAGGGATCTTAGATTGTACACCCCTTGAGGGTTAGGGACTGATGTGAATGTACAATATATATGTAAAGCGCGGAGTACATTGATGGCGCTATATAAGTACCTGAAATAAATAATAATAATTAAAAAAAATTAAAAATCTAGTACTTACAGTAGAGGGAGGTTTCAGCAACTCTTTCCTCAGAATCCCGTCATTCAGTAAGGCCAGAAGATTGGAAGCTGAATAAACTAACAAAGAAAAACAAGTTTTTAAGAACACGAGAAGAAACAGCCAATGAGGTTAAAGTGATTCTAAAAGCTTTTTTTTTTTTTTTTTCAAATAATAAACATGTCATACTTACTTGTTCTGTACAATAGTTTGCACAGAGCAGTCCCAATCCTCCTCTTCTCAGTTCCAGCACCGGCACTACTGGCCCTTCCCCCTGGCGAGTGCCCCCAAAGCAAGCCACTTGCTATGGAGGGGCACTTGTGGAGGCTCGCTCCTGAGCCACCCTGTCTGCGTCTCCTGTATCGCGTCTGCAGTCTCTGCCCATCTCCTGTATCACGTCTGCAGTCTCTGCCCATCTCCTGTATCACGTCTGCAGTCTCTGCCCATCTCCTGTATCATGTCTGCAGTCTCTGACCATCCTTTGTTGGTAACATGCACATCTCTGCAGCCTCTGCCCAGCTCCTGTATCACGTCTGCAGCCTCTGCCCAGCTCCTGTATCATGTCTGCAGCCTCTGCCCAGCTCCTGTATCACGTCTGCAGCCTCTGCCCAGCTCCTGTATCACGTCTGCAGCCTCTGCTCAGCTCCTGTATCGCGTCTGCAGTCTCTGTCCAGCTCCTGTATCACGTCTGCAGTCTCTGTCCATCTCCTGTATCGCGTCTGCAGTCTCTGCCCATCTCCTGTATCGCGTCTGCAGTCTCTGCCCATCTCCTGTATCACGTCTGCAGTCTCTGCCCATCTCCTGTATCGCGTCTGCAGTCTCTGCCCATCTCCTGTATCACGTCTGCAGTCTCTGCCCATCTCCTGTATCGCGTCTGCAGTCTCTGCCCATCTCCTGTATCACGTCTGCAGTCTCTGCCCATCTCCTGTATCGCTTCTGCAGTCTCTGCCCATCTCCTGTATCGCGTCTGCAGTCTCTGCCCATCTCCTGTATCGCGTCTGCAGTCTCTGCCCATCTCCTGTATCGCGTCTGCAGTCTCTGCCCATCTCCTGTATCGCGTCTGCAGTCTCTGCCCATCTCCTGTATCGCGTCTGCAGTCTCTGCCCATCATCCTGTATCGCGTCTGCAGTCTCTGCCCATCTCCTGTATCGCGTCTGCAGTCTCTGACCATCTCTGTATCGCGTCTGCAGTCTCTGACCATCTCCTGTATCGCGTCTGCAGCCTCTGACCATCTCCTGTATGCATCTGCAGTCTCTGACCATCTCCTGTATCATGTCTGCAGCCTCTGACCATCCTTTGTTGCAACAAGGTATGGTCAAAGACTGCAGGCATGCACATCTGCAGTCTCTGCCCAGCTCCTGAATTGCATCTGCAGCCTCTGACCAGCTCCTGAATTGCATCTGCAGTCTCTGACCAGCTCCTGAATTGCATCTGCAGCCTCTGACCACCTCCTGAATGCATCTGCAGTCTCTGACCCTCCTGAATTGCATCTGCAGTCTCTGACAGCTCCTGAATTGCATCTGCAGTCTCTGACCAGCTCCTGTATAACGTCTGCAGTCTCTGACCAGCTCCTGTATCACGTCTGCAGTCTCTGACCACCTCCTGTATCACGTCTGCAGTCTCTGACCACCTCCTGTATCACGTCTGCAGTCTCTGACCACCTCTTGTATCACGTCTACAGTCTCTGACCACCTCTTGTATCACGTCTACAGTCTCTGACCTCCTCTTGTATCACGTCTACAGTCTCTGACCACTCTTGTATCACGTCTGCAGTCTCTACTTTCTGTAGCATTAATTCACTGCCTATTATGTGTGGCCCTGTGTGATGGGACCTGACTGGAGCCCTCCTATAGTAAGTTGACCACCACTGGTATACACCAAACACCAATAATAATGAAGGTCTTCTATCAGTAAATGTAATTTTCAGACTCTCATCGGTTAGTGTAATAATTACGGCTCCTTCACACCAATCCGAACACTACAACACATACATGCTGGTGCGTGCTGCGCAGTGACAATGAGATTAGAGTTGTTAGAATACATCACTTTTCACTTTTGTTTTCAATGTTACTGAAGTGTCACAAAATGATCCTTCATTCCACTTTCTGCACTGCAGCATGTTGTGACACTCTAATGATATGCGATGAGCTGCGCAGAAATGCAGACATACTACACTGTATGCAGCAAGCTGTGATATCACATTAGGGTGTGAACAGGACACATAGAAAACAATGGTTTACTAGGCGCCCTTACATAGAGCCGGCATTGATACTTTGCAGAACATAGATCAATAGACATGGAGTGTCCAAGCTCTGAATAAGAAGTTAAACTTAAAGTAGAACTAAAGGCAAAACGTTTTTCATTTTCATCTTGGATAGAGTAAGGGAGGGTTATACCCCCTGTCAGTTTTCTTTTTTTGCCAGTTGTGTCCCATTGGGGAGATTTCCCTTCAATTCCTGCCCCATTGGGGAGACTTCCCTTCACTCCCTGCCCCATTGGGGAGACCTCCCTTCACTCCCTGTCCCATTGGGGAGATTTCCCTTCACTCCCTGTCCCATTGGGGAGACCTCCCTTCACTCCCTGTCCCATTGGGGAGATTTCCCTTCACTCCCTGTGCCCCATTGGGGAGACCTCCCTTCACTCCCTGCCCCATTGGGGAGACTTCCCTTCACTCCCTGCCCCATTGGGGAGACCTCCCTTTACTCCCTGTCCCATTGGGGAGACCTCCCTTCACTCCCTGCCCCATTGGGGAGACCTCCCTTCACTCCCTGCCCCATTGGGGAGATTTCCCTTCACTTCCTGCCCCATTGGGGAGACCTCCCTTCACTTCCTGCCCCATTGGGGAGACCTCCCTTCACTCCCTGCCCCATTGGGGAGATTTCCCTTCACTTCCTGCCCCATTGGGGAGATTTCCCTTCACTTTCTGTCCCATTGGGGAGATTTCCCTTCACTTCCTGCCCCATTGGGGAGATTTTCCTTCACTTCCTGTCCCATTGCAAAAACAGGAAGTGAAAGGTATTCCCTCCAAAGTGAGAGAATACCTGGTTGTCACCAGAACTAGTGTCCCCTTTGGATGAATTTCCCATCTATTCCTGTTCTAGTGACAACCCAAAATTTGGGATTTTCTTTTACTTTCACTTTCTGTGATATCGTTCACCAGGACAAACAGAGAGGGTGAATCTCCCTAATGGGGGGCACAGACAGCAATAAAAACTAACAGGGGTTCTAATCCCGATCAAATCTATCAAAAACTAAAAATAAACGTTTCACCTTTAGCCCAGGTTCACAGTGATGCGGTGCAGAATTTGCAGCGTTTTCTGTGCGAATTCCGCACCGCATCAGAATCGCACCCCGTTCATGTGAACCGCTGCAGGTGTGTATGTTAACAACACTCCGAAATCGGTCTGCAAAACGCGGTGCGATGAGCAGAATCAGATCACATAGGTGTGAATACCCATGCGATCCGATTCTAGTGCAGACCAAAAAAGGCGTCCTGCACGTTTTTGGTGCAGGTGCGCTGCGATTAGAGCCATACATAATGTATGTGTTCAATCACACCACATACAAATCACATGTGGTTTCTACAGGAATGTGGTGCGGTTCCCGTGTGAATCACATGCGATATACCACACCGCATATATGTGAACCCGGGTAAGTTACACATTGAATCTCCTCCATGCAGTGAACTATGATAACAAAACGCAAACATTGTGCTTACCCAGTTCAGACAGCTCATGGGAATCCGAGAAATCGTCCTTATAAAGAGAGAAAGGGAAGAGTTAGTTTGGAGGGATGAGGTGTGACACGAATGGATGAACTAAAAGCTGCATCTGATTGGTTGTCACTGGCTGGTGCCCATCAAAGGCAATGAGCCTTAAAGTGTATCTAAAACAAAAACATAAAAAAAAACATAAAAGTAAAAATAACAGAACAGAAATATAAATATAAAAAAGGGGGAGATTTCGTATAACTGGAGCACTTAGAATCTGGTGCAGCTGTGCCCAGGGGCGGACTGACAACTCATGGGGCCCCCAGGCAATAGGGGATCATGGGGCCCCTGTGTCCTTGCCCAAACTCAAAAAAGCCTATGAAAAAGGTACCAGGGGCATCTCATGGGGCCCCCTACTGACCCCGGGCCCTTGGGCAGTGCCTGAGTTTCCAAATGGTCAGTCCACCCCTGGCTGTGCCTGTTAGCCAATCAGCTTCTTACTTCATCTTGTTCAATTAATCTTTGGCAATAAAACCTGGAAGCCGATTGGTCTCTATGCAGAGCTGCGCCAGATTTTGCACTCTCCAGTTTTAGTAAATAACCGCCAACGTATTGCAGCTTACCAGTCCTCACCCTAGGCTCACACCTATGCAGGTTGCGTTTGAGGCGTTTTCTGCACTGCGTTTTTGCCACGTTTTGCTTTTTTTCCTTTTTCCCATTTTTCTTGTTGCTAGGCAGATTTTAAATGCAAAATGATGCAAAAATGCGCTTCATGCAGTGTTCCCATTGAAGTCTGTAGAACCAAAAACACAATGTTTTGCGTTAAAAAAGGTCCCTGAACCTTTCCAAAAATCGCGGAGATGTGAACGAGTCCCATTGGAAATCATGTTAAATGGACTGCTGTGCGTTTCTGCAAAACACTGCAGAAAACGCTCAGGTGTGAACCTGGGATAAGTCTAGGTTCACACCTATGCAGGTTGCGTTTGATGCATTTCTGCATTGTGTGTTGAGTTTTTGATGCATTTTTGATGCATTTCTCTCTTTTTTTTTAACTTGTTGCTAGGCAGATTTTAAATGCAAAATGCAGCAAAAATGCAGATTGCATTTGATGCGTTTCTGCATTGTGTTGCATTTATGTGTTTTATGGGTTTTTTTCTCTTGTTGCTTGGCACAAAAACACAAAAAAATGTACCACGTTTCTGCAAAAACTCTGCAGAAATGCTTAGCTGTGAACCTAGGGTAAGCGTTTTACGCAGCGTTTTGCAGAAACGCAGTACAGTCCATTTAACATGATTTTCTATGGGACACGTTCCCATCTCAGCATTTTCTCCCGGTGTTTTTTGGGAAGGGTCAAGGACTTTCTTTAACACAAAAAACAGCGTTTTTGCTTCTACAGACTACAATAAAAAATCTGCAGAAAAGCATGTAGTGCATTTCTGATGTGATTAACCATGTTTTTGATGCGTCTTATATCTGCCTAGCAACAAGAAAAATTAAAAAAACGCGTCAAACGCAAGTTCAAAAACGCAACACAGAAACGGATCAAACACAAACTGCATAGGTGTGAACCTAGCCTAAGATGTGGTGACTGCATTCGTTTTCTTTTTTGGAGCTTTTTTTCCCCCTTTATTTTCACCTGGCAATCCTACCTGCAAGGCCTAAAGCACATGGACAGTACGGCTCATGTGTGTTTAACCCCTTGATGCCGAGCGCATGCAAATACGCGGCCTCTTGATGTCTGGGCCTTGACGCTGAGCGGCCGCATATTTGCGTGCCATTAGAAAATACATATGTGCTGAGAGCACGCGCCCCGCTCGCTCCCAACACATATATCCGTGACTCCCGGAAAGGTACAGATCTCCCTTGCGATTGGGACCTTTTCCGATCATGTGACCGCCGTGACTGCGAATCACATGACCCTAAAGCCCCGCCTGCCTTCCGGCTTCTGAAACTCTTAAAGGGCCGGTGTGAAGTGGTTCATCTGACATTTTGTTGTGTCCAGGTGGCAGATGTACAGCATCCATCCCCGCTGCCCGTCTGGCCACACGTGTAACTTTTCAGCCGAGAATATTCGTTTGGTTTTCTAATCATTAGTGCGGTCAAACCGATGTTTGTTTTCGACAGCAGTGACGGAAAAAATTGGAGGGGAAAGGAAGCGTCACGGGAGTCAATTCAAATGAATGGGCTCTCATGCACACGCAAAACCGCGGCCCACATGGCTGCATATATGTGAACCAGGGCTCAGGGCTTGTTCACACGTGTGGTGTTGCTATGCTGATCCTCTGAAAAGCGATCTGAGGCGGATTGCTATTCAGAGGCATTTGACAGGTGGTGAGGAGGCAATATGTCACCCCCCCCCCCCCCCCCCCACACTGCCTGCTTTAACCCCCCAAATACCGACCCTTCACACTGCAACTGTGTGCACAGCCGGCTCCTGCAGGGCGGGTGAGGAGCGCCCCCTATTACTGCAATGCGTGGCGTCTGGCAGCGGGATTGCCTGTGGAATGCAAAGTATGGTTTCATTTTTGCTGTCGTGGTGTAGAGACAGGCTCCTGGATGCGGGATTAGGGGGCCGCAAATCCGCGTCTTTCACCGTTTTCAGCTGTCCGTGTGAATGAGCCCATAGAAGTCCATTGACAGCAATGTAGGTAACTGGTATTACCAAACCTTGGTCAGTGAATGGTCAGCCCATCCGGTCCATTGGACAGTGACAAACATGGGTCAGCAACGCTCATCACCACCCAAAGAGCGCGCATGGGCCATCAACGCTCAGCTCCGCACAAAGAGCGCACATGGGCCAGCAATGCTCATTACCGCACAAAGAGCGCGCATGGGCCAGCAACGTTCAGCACCGCACAAAGAGCACGCATGGGCCAGCAACGCTCAGCACCACACAAAGAGCACGCATGGGCCAGCAATGTTCGTCATCGCACAAAGAGCGCGCATGGGCCAGCAACACTCGTAACTGCACAAAGAGCGCGCCTCTACGCACACATAGATCTAGATGGGCGCTAGAGGCGGGCAGCAGGATGGAGGGGGTAAGGTTCACTCTGCGGAGCAGATCGGTCACAGTGCAGCCTGTCCTGACCCCCCCATAAAGGAGCACTGTCATCATCCAGCCTCATACCTGCAATCAGGTAGGACAGCATGCGCACTGCCCCCTCCAGCTGGGTGGCCCCGGTGGGGTTCTGCAGGACGAACTCCTTGTACTTGCGGCTCAGATCCTCCAGCTTGTCCCAGTAGCGAGCTGCCATCCTGCTCCCCCTGCTTCACTTCTTCCTGGTGACACCAACTGCCCCGCCTCTGGCCATGCCCATCCATGGGTGGGGATTACAGCTTAACCCCCTGTCTCCCGGACATTCTCTGCTGTTGGAGGGCTGCTGACTAGACATGTGCAGAATGAAAACGTTTGTTGTTTGTCTCGTTTCGTTGTGTTTGATTCGTTACGTGCGTTTAATTCCGTTTTCCGATTTTGTTTTGTTTATTCGAATTCAAAATTTCAAACAGATTTGAAAATAATTCTAATTATTTATTTCAGGTACTTATATAGCGCTGTCAATTTACACAGCACTTTACATATAGATTGTACATTCACATCAGTCCCTAACCCTCAAGGGGTGTACAATCTAAGGTCCCTAACTTACATTCATACATACACATACTAGGGCCAATTTAGACAGAAGCCAATTAACCTACCAACATGTCTTTGGAGTGTGGGAGGAAACCCACGCAGGCACAGGGAGAACATGTAAGCTCCAGGCAGGTGGTACTGTGGTTGGGATTTGAACCAACGACCCTGGTGCTGCCAGACGGAAGTGCTAACCATCTAGCCACTGACTGTATGTATGTATGTATGTATGTATGTATGTATGTATGTATGTATGTATATGTATATATATATATGTGTATGTATATATATATATGTGTATATATGTATATGTGTGTGTGTGTATATATGTATATATATATATATATATATGTGTGTGTATATATATATATATATATATATATATATTTTTTTTTTAATGGCTTCAAAAACAATTCCAGCAGATCCACACCTATCCAGTTTGCGTTTGACCTGTTTCTGCATTGCGTTTTGCATTGCGTTTTTACACCTGCGTTTTTTACTTGTTTTTGATGCGTTTTGTTTGTTTTTTTCTTGTTGCTAAGCAGATTTAAAACACAGAACTTTTTCGGAAATTACTTTGTTTATTTGAATTCGACCGAATTCAAAATTTCGAACAGATTCGAAAATAATTCTAATTATGGATTCAAAAACAATTCCAAAAATTCAAAAAACCTGTCAGGGGCTATAACCCTCCTGTAATCTATACAAAAGTGAAGGGAAATCTCCCCAGTGGGGCAGGAAGTGAAGGGAAATCTCCCCAATGGGACAGGAGGGGCAGGGAAATCTCCCCAATGGGACAGGAAGTAAAGGGAAATCTTCCCAAAGGGACAGGAAGTGAAGGGAAATCTCCCCAATGGGACAGGAAGTAAAGGGAAATCTCCCCAATGGGACAGGAAGTAAAGGGAAATCTCCCCAATGGGACAGGAAGTGAAGGGAAATCTCCCCAATGGGACATACATGGCAAAAAAAAAAAACTATCTGGGTTATAACCTTCCTGTAATCTATACAAAATAGATATGTGCAGGAAGAAAGCATTTGTTTCGATTCAATCTGTTAATTAACTCATTTTGTTTCATCAAATTGGTTAAATTAATTTTCGGAATTTGTTTAGTTTCGTTATTCATTTGCAAATTTGATCCGAATTTTCCAAATTCAACCGACTAGATTGGGAAAATTTTAATCAGCATTCGAATTAGATTTTTTTTTTTTTAATTTGAATGCGTGTGATTAATTTTTCACCCGAACTGCAATGTGTTTACATTCATATTCATTTCCAAATTTGAATGTTATTTTTGGGTGAATTTCGTTTATTTTGGAGGATTTGTGTACATTCATTATTATTGTCATTCAAAATTCCGATATATCTGAATAACGAAAAATTTGTCCGAATTTCGATTAGGAAGGAACACGAACCTCACATGCCTGGTTTTGCCCAGAGTTCACACTTGTATATTATAGTTCTGTCTCTTTGTTTTTTCTTCTGAAAATGCTAGTTACCTGGGTGCCTCTGGTGTTCATAAAGTTTTGATTCAGCCAAGCATGCAGCCAGTGACGTCAGACAAGGATTTCTGACTTTTCTCTGACTCTCATCTGTAGTTTCAGGTAGTGTCTCAGTAAACGCTGAAGCTGACGGGTCTGCATGAGAGCCAGGCAGCTAGCATTTTGCGGCATAGAAGTCACCTGACATATCCTTCACTGGACAGGTTTCCATGAATTACAAAGCATGTTAAGGAAACCTGTACATTGCTGGCCTGCTTCTGGAAATGCGTGTTGCCTGGCTGGTTTGCTGATCCTTTGGATTCACATATTTCTGGCTCGTGGAATCAGGACACATGCAGATCAGGGCTTATGACTTCACTTGCTACATGACCGTTCCGAGGAGTACCGTGACAACTAGTATGTTCATAAAGGAAGGTCAGCAAGGTCGGCCTCCATGACATGATAACCAGCCCAGCTACGCCCTCATCACGGCTACCTACTGTTCATCCATGCAATGTGCCGTAACCCATGGCAACCAATCAGAATCCAAAAACCTTCCATTATGAAATCATTTGTATCACTGGGTTGTTATGGTTACAATAAACAGACAGGACCCGTGTTTGCTGCACCAAGACCCCAGACTTCACAGCCTGGAGCTTCTGTTCCAGTAATGTCCCCTTTAAGAGGAGAGATAACCCACAGCAACCCCACGCCCCTTCCTCAGATTGACAGGCCAAAGTCCGGGGAACAATGAGAGCGAGGCGCGCATGCGTGTCACTTTCACTTCATCTGGTCTGGATTCAGGAAGGTGAAGCGAAAGCCGGGAACATCGATTGGGAATCAGCTGTATGGTAGAGACCGGGCACCGGGCTGGGAGAGGGAGAGAGAATCCAACACCGGAGCCGGTGGACCCAGAGAGAGCAGATGGGGAACAGTGTGTGAGCGGGGGAGAGACACAGAGGTAAGAGGACTGACACTGATACAGGGGGGAGGATGTCTGTGCTGGACATGGGAGGGGGTGCAGAGTATGAGGACATGGGGGGTACAGAGTATGAGTCATAAGTGGGTATATGGGGGGTACAGAGTATATGAGTCATGGGGGGGGGGTATATGGGGGGTACAGAGTATGAGGACATGGGGGGTACAGAGTATGAGTCATGGGGGGTATATGGGGGGTACAGAGTATGAGGACATGGGGGGTACAGAGTATGAGTCATGGGGGGTGTATGGGGGGTACAGAGTATGAGGACATGGGGGGGGTATGGGGGGTACAGAGTATGAGGACATGGGGGGTATGGGGGGTACAGAGTATGAGTGGGTATATGGGGGGTACAGAGTATGAGGACATGGGGGGGGGGGTATGGGGACATGGGGGGTACAGAGTATGAGGACATTGGGGGGGGGGGGGGGGGGGGTGTATGGGGGACATAGTATGTGGGAGATATGGGGTGGAATGTTGAAGGCAATCAGGGACATGAGGCAGTTTATAACTACATTATATGATGAGGTTAAAGAAGCTCTATTTTTGTGGTACACTATATGGGGGGGGCAGTATGTTGGGGTACAGTATGTGATGGGACATTGGGGGTATGTTGGGGTACATATATGATGGGCAGTATGTTGGGGTACAATATGTGATGAGACAGTATGTTGGGGTACACTATGTGATGGGACAGTATGTTGGGGTACACTATGTGATGGGACAGTATGTTGGGGTACACTATGTGATGGGACAGTATGTTGGGGTACAGTATGTGATGGGACAGTATGTTGGGGTACACTATGTGATGGGACAGTATGTTGGGGTACACTATGTGATGGGACAGTATGTTGGGGTACACTATGTGATGGGACAGTATACCGGGGTACACTATGTGATGGGACAGTATACCGGGATACACTATGTGATGGGACAGTATACCGGGATACACTATGTGATGGGACAGTATGTTGGGGTACACTATATGATGGCACAGTATACCGGGATACAGTATGTGATGGGACAGTATATTGGGGTACAGTATGTGATGGCACAGTATACCGGGATACAGTATGTGATGGGACAGTATATTGGGGTACAGTATGTGATGGGACAGTATACCGGGATACAGTATGTGATGGGACAGTATATTGGGGTACAGTATGTGATGGGGCAGTATACGGGGTACAGTATGTGATGGGGCAGTATACCGGGGTACAGTATGTGATGGGACAGTATATTGGGGTACAGTATGTGATGGGGACAGTATACCGGGGTACAGTATGTGATGGGGCAGTATACCGGGGTACAGTATGTGATGGGACAGTATATTGGGGTACAGTATGTGATGGGGCAGTATACCGGGGTACAGTATGTGATGGGACAGTATACCGGGGTACAGTATGTGATGGGACAGTATATTGGGGTACAGTATGTGATGGGACAGTATATTGGGGTACAGTATAGGTTGAATATAAGTGTTTTGGGAGTTCGGCATATTAGTGGTGTGATTGGCCCATTGTGTAGACAGGAAAGAAGTATATGGGGTGAGGTGTCATGTGTGGTGGAGGAGCAATGTTTGAACATTGTATGGAGTACAGTTAAGCAGCCCATGGGGGGGGATGGTGTATATGTAGGATGTGAGTGCAATGTGTACATTTTGTGTATTTGCATTTGGAGATTATATGAAGAGATGTATGGAGACTGTTACAGGACTGTATTTTGGTGAAAGGGTGTGGAGGGTGTTAAGCTCAGCACTGTATTCTCCACCATAGGCCCTTCAGTGTAATGGAGAGCAGCAAGCGGAGACGTTCAGAAAGTAGTTCATTGGGGGGACGAGGTATAAAATACACAGATTAAATTGTATGTGTGTAGAGAGACGTTGGATCAGAATGTGCTGGCGTTGTGTGTGTATATAAGTAAGTGTGTATGTATATATATATATATATCTATCTCAATCAGTGTAATGGTACATGAGCGTTTACTCCACGTCCAGATGCATCGTTGGGGTGGATCAGTATGTAGATGTAGTAATCGGGCCGCACACTATTCCTCTGATTGGTCTTATTATGGTGGCGGCGGGGGGCCCTGGACCTGATGGCAGGAGACCTGGAGGAATATCGTGGAGTTACAAAGATCACCCGCCTGTCTGTCGTCATGTGGGCCCC